ACGGGGCCCCCAGAGCCCACTCTGGCAGCCGCGTCGTCATCTTACAGCCTCACTTGCCTCCGAAATGTAATTTGTATGTCGCTTCTGACACGCGGTTTCAACACGACAACTTCATTGTGGTTTTTGCTTCGGGAGCACCAGGCTTGGTCTAAAAATCGTCCGATGGCCCCCAGCCTCCCTCCTGTTCACTGGCACCGCCACACGATCACAGGAAGGACCCCCGCGAGGCACAGAGGAGCTGTTGAAGCGAAGTCCGGTCCCGCGGTGGCAGGCAGGTTTGGAGCTGAAGGCTGCCTGTGGCAGGATGGGTCTGTCACGGGTGTCTGTCCTGCACGGGTTTGCCTGCTCGGGCAGCGGAGCCTGGCACCGGGGGGGTGTCACCACTGTCGAGGCGGTTGGCAGGCGCGGCCCTCGGGGCCCTTGCGCAGGGGCTGGGGTCACCCCTCGCCCCGCAGCATGGGTGCTTTCACCGGAGGAGTCCCGGGTGCTGGGGGTGCTGGGCAGCGCTTCAGCACGGGCAGCCTGCGCTGCATCGCAGCTCCGTGCTCCCCGCTGCGCCCCGGGATGCCAGGGAGAGGGGAGCCCCCCGTCCCCGCATCGTGCTCCTCTCTTGCCGGGGACTTTCACACATCACCTCTCGCTTTTCTCGCTTCGGAGCTGCCTTGGGAGCAGGTTGGCTCATCGTGACCTCGCTCGTGGTGCTTGGCAGGGAGGGCTGGTGCCTTCCAAGCCATGGCTGGTCTGCGGCCGAGCGCGTTGGCTAACGAGCGCGGTGAGAACAAGCCCTTTAGGTTGACGTAGCTGTTAAAGCATGGCTCAAACTTCTCCCGCCCTGCTCGCAGCCACCGAGGAGCAGCGGAGCTCCCGGCCGGGCGCGTTGCCGGTGGGCACGTCTCGGCGCGCGTAGGCGAGCGGTGCGTCACCCATGGCTGGCTGGAGCGCGCTGCGCCGCGTTACCTGGGGAGAAGGGCAAAGCTGCCGTCAGCTCCTGCGTTGGGCCCGCGATCTGTAAGCACCGGACTGCAGGGGTGGGTTGAGCTAAGGGTCCTGCCAGCGCTTGTGTGATACGGTCTGTGACCTTGTGGCGTTGTTGTATATAAGGCATCATATGGTGGGGAAAAAAAAAATGCTAGAGGGTGTTGTACCTTTTCCATGTAAAGCAATCTGACTGGCATTAAACAAGTTGTGAATTTACGTCTCTTGGACTTGGTGGCTCCACTTTGCTTTGCTGCGGCGAGGTGAGGGGCGCAGCGGGGCCCTGGGCCCTGCCTGGAGAGCTG